GGATGGCTGAAAAGGATTGTTATGTAACTGAACATGCGTTCTTAAGATGTGATGTGTTCGATTGCCAGCAGGATGGCTCGAGCCATTCAATAAAGTGCATTATTTCAAATGACCCGGACGCTGGCATGGTGCAAAGCATATCGAAACGTGGAGAGGCTCCATGCCGTAGGTAAGGCCATGCGGGACCAGGAACGTACCCGCTTCCTACTCAAGTGGCAAAAGATGATCAATTAGCAACCGAAAGGGGGTTGGGTCGAACGGACCCCCCCCCCCCCCCCGGCCCCCACCTCCTCAGCTTTTAGCTTTTCGCAGCTCGCGTAAAAAGCGACCGATCAATCGCGACGAAACTTTCAGTAACCTCGCGTAAATCAGTTTTATTTACACCTACCCTAAAAATGTCATGACCCTGAGTCCCTGACCCAAATGACCTTATGACCTGTGATCTACTTTTCGAGACCATATGTTGGGCCGGAATCGCGATTTGGCACATGTCGGCTCGCATTAGCCGCGCGTTTGCAGTCTTTTCGTGGTTTCAAGCGCTCAAACTCGTGGTAAAATGCTGCTCCCGTGCATTAGGGTGGGTGTCAAGGTCACCTGAAGGTCAGGTCAGGTCATTGACCTTTGATGACCTCGGTTCACTTTTGATCGAGTTTTACATGTTTGTAGGCTAGTTTTGGAGCTGATTTCCGAATTTAACAATTATTTTAACGTTTACGAAGTAGTTTTGGTGCCTTCGTGTCATGTTACGAAGCTGTCAGAGGCGGTTGACACCTACTGGGAATACCCGGCAGGACCCCTACTGGTTGACCTTGCCTGACCCAACCTGGCCTAAATGCATCCAGACATCATCTGTGATAAAAATGAACATGATATTCGTGATCAGCACCCCGAAAACCTCATATCAGCAACACTTAACGACGTTCTAACAGGTCCCGATTTCCCCGACGCTTGGGTCATTGACCTGCCCGGCTGGAAGGTCAACCAATGACCTAGGACCTTCAAATTGCGTATCATCGGTTTCTTCTCGTCTACTTGCAATTCCATCCCTGATAGTCTGCCAGTGCTTAAATAGATCACCATCGATCTGGAATGATCATCTTTTCGCTTTTGCCACCTGAGTAGAAAGAGCAAGTACGTTCCTGGTACACTGCATGGCCTTACCTACGGCAGGGAGCCTCTCTACGCTTCGATACGCTATGCATTGCCAGAGTCCGGGTCATCTGAAATGATGCACTTGATTACATGGCTCGAGCCATCCTGTTGGCAATCGAAGACACCCACGCCTTAAGAAAGCATGTTCAGTTATAAAACAATCCCTTTCAGCCATCCGCATGCTGTATCTGGCATAAAAATCGACTTCAAAAGTTACCCACGTAACATGGACCGTCTACGGGGACCGGGAACTTCTGACCACTTGCAGGTGGCGCCACTGCGCCCCCATGCGGGAACAACTGCGGCGCGGCAGTCGTCCGTCTAGGTTACTATAGAGGTCAATGGCTGTAAATGCCACTTTTTCAATTTCCTTGCCCAACCCTCACATTGTTTTCTCGTCTTGTCCAGGTTGTGACTGCCACAGCCTGCAACTCGTCCCAGCTGTGTCCGGGTCCCTCAGCTCCCGTGGCTAACTCTCCGAGTCGGATCAGCCCTCAGCGCCGCGTGGACCATTTTTCGTACACAGCCTTCGGTTCTCTGTCAGAGGAGCGTCTGTCCAATAACGCACTGACCGGGGTTCGGACCGACTGGTCGCTGGTTATGGGAAGGACCGGCTGTAGACACAAAACCGTCCGTCACTCGGCGCCTTCTTTGGTGATGGATTAAAGTCGGTGACGCTGATCGGGGCAGCGTTCGACCGAAAAGAACGGTGGAAATGGGAACAGGTGAAGGATGAAACACAATGACTATAGGCGAGACAGATAAAGGCTGACAATGTGAAGGGAAAGAAAGAGATACATGATAAGCGAAACGACGTGGGAAAGTATTAAAGCTGATATATAGGCATTTGTGGTTGATTTGTGAAAGACGAGAGAATGCTAACCATGACCAGTAATTTGTTACATTTGATTGATTCTCTTCATTTGGCCCAAATGTTTTCATAACTTATGCTTCCTTGATATATTTCAGTTATACTTATTTTATGGCCAACCTTTTCCTCTCATCTCCTTTTCACCGTCATCGCAGCAGCATTTATACAGCCGAAACTCCGGAACGAATTCCGCCTCTGGAACGGCTCGTCGGCTGAAGAATGTCGCGGGATGAGCGCATACAGGGAACGTACGGCCGTCCCGGCCCGCCCCTGCCGTGTCAGCCCTGTCATTTGACCCCGTTCGCTGCTGGGAGCATCCTCAACAAACGGGCCCTCCCCACCCCGCCCTCTCCTACGGCAGCGCTCGCCCTGCTCCCGCGGCGCTGTAACCTCCGGTCACATGACCTGGCCGAGACAAACGAGACACTGCGGAGCGTGCAATATCAGAGCTGGGCGTCACCTCCTTCTCTCCCAGCCCAGCCCTCGCCGATACTTTCTCAGACAACCGGCCGGTGAATTCTTTCCAGGCAGAGATGTGCTTCAGTGGCAGCGCCCTCTCTATTGCTACAGGGTCATTGAACTATACATAGTAGTGGTCGCTGAGCGTGACAGATACCATTCCATTACAGCCGCAAATGCAAATGAAAAAAGTAAGTATATCTGAAATGGTTGTGAGAAGGGCACGTCATCCGGTCAGCGCGAGCCCGGCGTTACGTGACTGGGCGGAGCTTCCGGTCCACCGTCGACCAATCATCATCGAGAGATTCGGGCCGCGACCGACCTGAGATATTGTCCTTTCTCAGCCTTGGTATTCACAACGCAAGGTTGGGATTGGACAATACCCCAGCGGTGTCGCCATCTTCGGTGTCACGGTGCATCACGACATCACGAAACCTTCACGAAGTCACGCCAAGCACGTTTCGGGATCACGACGTTGCAGCAAGTCGAGCGATCTCTAGGAAACATCACGGAAGCTCTTCGTGACACGCGGAATGGTTTTTCAACTCCCGTGTTGTAGCGTCAGCGGGGCAGGATGCTGAAACTCACGAACTAACCAAGTCGTGAGGTCACGCATGGTTTCACGGAATTGAGCTGTGGCGGTCACGATTTTGTGGTAAGCGAGAGTGGCCGGGTTAGAAAACTGGAGAAGCGAACTTCAGCTCGCTGATTCTGCTTTTTGAGTTTTGTGGGGGTTTAAATGTGGCTATGAAAGAGGTTAACCCGCGCATGACTGGGGTATTTTCCATAACGCGAGTGACTGGGGGGGGGCTCTCCAGAGCCCCCCCCCCCCTCCTATCTCCGAGACTACTGGGCTGATCGTGAAACTTCAAACGGTGTCTGATAGCCCTGGAAAAACTGTCGAACGAAACCTACTTTCATTGACCTCGAGGTCACCGATAACGTCACAGGTCAGGTCAAAGTAAAAATTATCGACATTTTTGCTAGTTCACAATTTAGGCTCTGACCGCCGGACCGCCGCGCCGGTCCGATCAGGCTCATTTTTGGTTTACGCACTCCTTGACGGATGCCTTAGATACCCTGAGGGTACCGAACTTTTACTTCGAATTTTTAAGGTCAAGGCCAGGTCATCCTAGGTCACGAAAATTGTATATCAGGTATCAGTCACGTGACGCATGTTTTATGGTCCATTTTACTTCGCAGATTTCGAAAATAGTGTCGCCTGTGTCATTTGAGGTCATTGTCAGCTGAATTTACCGGAGGTCAGGTCACTTTCAGGTCAGAAAATTTTGAAAATGAAATTTGTCAACAAAAAAGGCGCCTATCAGATGCAGTTTGAGCTCAGGAACATGATGGTGCCATTTATATTGCTGTACGACGTCAAAAACGTACTGAAAAATGGATTTGAAAAAAAAAAAAACATAAAATTGTAAAATTTTGACAATAATGCGAATAACTTGGCTATTTTTGAAGACATTGGGCTAAAACTTGCAAAGGTAGTACATCAGTGTGTGTTCTATCACATATATTCCGGTTTTTGCGAAAATTCAAAAACTTTTTGAAAAAAAAAATAAAAAAATATATTTTTAATTGTAAATACATATTTTTCAAAACATTCAAAATTTCGAAAATTCGAGATAGCAGTTTGATAGCTACGTGTATTTGTAGTCCACTCATGCAAAGAAAATGGATCTAGCTTTAAAACTGAGCTCTTGAGAGCGTTTGCCGTAATTCAGTGTTTTGCATGAAAATCGGCCGACATGACGTCACTCTGACGTCATTTCCGGCCAAACTATGGTAGCTAGAAAGTTGAAATTTGAACACAAGGTGTCAAATTGATGCTTCTGAGGGTACCGCAAGTTTCGTGTTGATCCGTCAAACGGTTTAGAAAATATTGCTGAAAAACGGGAGGGGGGCTCTGTAGAGCCCCCCCAGTCATGCGCGGGTTAATTAACCATACCTATCGCACAAAGTTTCCATTTCATTGCATATTTCACTGCGAAAAAAGATTGCATTGTTATCAATGAGCTGTGACAATGTGTGTCAGGGAGCACAATGACCAAGGCAGCGATGAAGTGGCTTTGTTTGATCAGCAAATAGTCAGGAGTCAGGACTGAGGAACCGAGCTGGGGTTATCTGAGCTATTCAGCGGATATGGGACGTCTGAGTCAATGTGATATGCAGCCAAAGTTGCTCCTCTGTAAGCTGCACAGTGGTCAATGGCCATAGGTGAATGAGTGGTGTCAGCGGGACTGTCTTCAGGGATGTGATGCAAGCGTTTGTCATGAGATCCCCAAGCCGGGAATTAGGCATTACCAGACCATGGAGAGAAGAACACTAATTCAAATTCCAAGCAAACCATACTGGACACAAAAAAGGGACGTTTATATTTGTGTTAGTAATGACTGCCGATGTTTTCTGCCTGAGGTGTATGCTGTATATCAAACCTCCTTGTATTGGCCCTGTGACAGGCCTGCACATCCCCATCCCCAGCGCCCCACCAACGCAGCCAACTGACCTGTCTCATACCGCCCGAGGTCTCCTCTATACCGGTCACCCCCGGCCCTGTAACGTCGTCTCCGGTCCACACCCATGCCTCACTCAACTCACTACACTTCCCACCTACACCTCGTACGTATAACACCGACACAACAACTGACCACTGCTGTTAGACGGGCACTCTCACTATGTGAGACGCCGTGCCACAGCACCGCACTGACACGACACTACCCCCCAGCCGGACTGGCGACCTCGCCGGGCTGCTTCCAGCTGCTGACTGGACTCGGGGAGTCCGGTCGGTGCCCCCGGGCCGCCCTGGACAGAGGGGAGGGGGACGAGAGGCCCGGGGCTGAAGGGGGAGATAAGGCCAGTCCGGAGTTCGAGTTTGGCCTTTGGACAAAATAGGCGCCAGTGACGAGGATGTGATTACGACTCAGACTGCCTCTTGTGAAAATGAAGACGAAGGTGAGAACAGAATACCTACAATGAAACAGTAACCGTCACATCACGAGACTATTTATACTCACGAGGTAAAAATGACGATTTATTTGAAATCTTTGACATTTTAGTCCTTAACCGAACTCAAAATTGTGCCCAGACAATGCTCATTGCTGCTGCTAGACCCACTGCTTGCTATTTAGTTTCCCTTGAAGTCATCAGAGCAGACCCGGTCTCTCAATTAGGTGTCGGACAGGCGGCCTCGCCCTGTGCGGAGCCTGGCCCGCCTGCTGCACCCATGCAACATGATGCAGCTCATCTGCACTCAGCGCGTCACGTGACAGTGCATACTCGAGGGGAGGGGCTAGCGGGGGGGGATGATTGTATTACTGAGCATTCACCGGATATCAACTCTAATGAGTAGTGTGTGCTGTTCACTCGGAAATAACACCACTGTTGCTGAGTTCGTTAACATCCATGATTGAGCCATGTGTGCAGAACTTTCGTTGAGACTATTGTTGACCAAAAGATCATCGATTTACATAAAAAAAATGCTTATCAGAGGCTGCGATATCCGTTTAAATGTTCTTCTGAACTGAACCTGACGTTTCTACCGTAAAATAGATAAAGTAAATCACGTTAGGTTAGGCAAGGTTATATTGAAATGGATAACTAAATTCAAAAGTATATAAGTAAAATGGGTAGGCAAAAAGTAAGGACAGGCAATTACCTCGGCCAACACATCAGCTATCTCAATTGTCACATAATCCAGCCAACGACGCTTAATAACTACATACCACTCTGATAATATCCCGATACATGCTTCCATCGGGCTCAATACCGATGGTGGGTCGATCATATCCCGACGGTCTCTGTAATAAAGTCCCGGTCAGGTGCCCCTATCAGGTGCCCCATCCCTGCCTGGGGTCAATATATCGACTCCAGGGTTGGCCGGTGCATCGGCCCGGTCCTGTCTGTCGATGTAACATGGCCCCGACTACCGCTCGACTCTGACTAGAGTCGGATTATGCCATGATTTGTTTGCGAATTGATTCCGATTCAAAACTGCTTAGGGTGCTCCGAATGGACTTGATGTGTTGGACTGACTTCGCCTGTCTATGTGGCTCTAACTAATTCAACTAGACGATGAATGATTATTTGACACCATTTCTACTGCAACCACACCCCATGACTATCCGACTCTATTCGACTCTGACAAGACTCTGACTCGGCTCAGTGATCGGTGCCCCCGATTAGTTTTCGCCGGTGGGGCCGACAGGGTAAGTCCGACCCGCTGACAGGTAAAAACCCGACCCGGTAACCAGTCCCTCGAGGCGGCACTCCAAACAAAAACTGGCACAGAGACCCAGCGCAGCGGTGCTGACTGGCAAAGTAGCTAGGCGTGAGTGGCAGTGGTAATTAATCGATGGTCACTTGAGAGAAATCCATGTGACTTGTCGCTACCTTGTTAATTGCTTCTCTCTCCCTCTCTCTCTCTCTCTCTCTCTCTCTCTCTCTCTCTCTCTCTCTCTCTCGCTCTCGCTCTCGCTCTCGCTCTCGCTCTCGCTCTCGCTCTCTCTCTCTCTCTCTCTCTCTCTCTCTCTCTCTCTCTCTCTCTCTCTCTCTCTCTCTCTCTCTCTCTCTCTCTCTCTCTCTCTCTCTCTCTCTCTCTCTCTCTCTCTCGTCCTTTTTCTTTAAAATGTTCACTGTTTTCTCTCCATTTGCTGCATTTCTCTTCTTTCGTTGAATAATGTATTGTTACCTATTGTTGCTTAGCGAATGGCCCTGGATAATGAATAATGCTAAATGTTGCTGATAAATCAGAAAGTAAAAAAAATCCATTTATATGTCTTGTAATTTAACTTCGCTGCTTTCGGAATAAGCCTAACAAATTCAGCGTCTTTGCATAGGATATTAACGCAATTACTTACGGAACGTTTTCCTATTCATTATCGCACAAAGAACGTCTGAGTCAGTGCGGGTTGTTGCCTTTGATAACGGAACATAATTATGCAAATCCGACAGTAATGAACCTAAAAGTAATCTGAGCCCCAGCCCGGAAAAGGAAGCTTTACGACCCGAGGGCCATCCATTGCGGTCAGCTCTTTGGACTAAATGGTGGGTAAGCCGCATCTGTTGTGCTCTAGTACGTGATTTCCTTTACCGGATATTGTGTCTCAATAGCTGCGTAAAAGTTATTGTGACTGACTGCTCCCTTCTGTAACAAAATATAGTTAGAGGAAAACAAAATAGTTAGAGCGCGTCGGTGAGTGTCACCAAATGATCGGAATATATACCTAAATCCATATCGCATAGCCATTTTATTTGTTCCTTCATTCAATGAACCAGCATCGTATTAACCATTTTATTATCCATCAGCCTGTGGAATCCATTCTATGTACCCATTCTATCACTGAGCGTGACGTTGATATGAGATTCACTCCGCCATTGGCGTCACTTGCAGGGCAATAAACAGTTGGCCCATCCCATAACTCGGGGCGGTGAAACATCCCCTTCCGTGTGTCGTTGCATTCGGTGTGAAAATCCGACGGAACGGCCGGGCCGTGTCGCCAGAGAGAGGCTCATCCCAGCCGTCACAGTCGAAACGGATGGGAACGGACGGCGGCCCGACTGCGAACGGGTAACGACAATCGATGGCGGATCGGCCCACCATTTTAGAGGGACACGGCGCCGCCGGTGGAGGGGCGGAACTCCGCCGCGGGGGCAGCGGAACTCCGCCGCGGGGGCAGCGGAACTCCGCCGCGGGGGCAGCGGAACTCCGCCGCGGATGGAGCGGAATTCCACCGCGGAGGGAGTGGAACTCCGCACTTTGCCCCGGGGGGGGGGGGAGCAGGACTCCGCCGTCCCCGCCCGCTTGGACGGGTCCGCCGGAAATGATGTGGCTGACTCACGATGGAAGGTATCACATAAACTGGCGACTGATCAGGTGGCATGCTGAATGGTGATGGATCTACATTCTACATGCCTACGTGAGCGCTGGTGTTCGGTATCGGATGGGAGAAGCAGGCAAAAGCTGCGAAGCTAGTCCGTCTGTTTATTTTAAAGGATAAAATAAGCTTCCCATATCAGTAAAGGCTTTTAGAACAACAATTCCTAAGTTCAAACAGAAACAGATCAGCATTTAGGTGGGGGCAGCTGTTATGCACAATGCACGTTATAGCGCAGCGTCTGGATACACTACGCTACACACTATGCACACTAGCTGACTGATAACTTTCACCTTACGATCTCTCCCTCATGAGTTGCGGTATCGGCAGCGGTGGTCCCCTGGTCGGGACCAGGTGCATCCCAGCTTTATGGCGCCAATTACAGCGGTTGGCGCCAGAAAAATTACCCGCAGAACTAATGACCGAGATAACAAAGTATCCACTATGTCGCCCTGCAGTGGTGGCGCGCTGGGAGGAATCCTCCATTTCACAGCGAGCCAGATTTTTTAATGCCGCAGTCGGCTCGCCGAAATTCGAGGAGCTTGATGTTTTGTTTAGCTGGGCGTCAGTTGGCGTCAGTGGAATGGTCATAGGGGAACAAAAACATATCACTGTTTTAAACAAGTCAGAAACACTCATTTTCCAGTTCAAATGTGTTTAGCTTGTAACGGCGCAAAAACACCTTCAGGCATCCAAAATGCTACTTTTATTACAGGAAAAGAGTGTAAGAACTCAAAATCCAGCACTTGCAGAAATTCAGCTCATTTTCTAGGCCAAGCCATCATTTTCATGCATCAATTGTTTATCAGAATAAGACGCCATTTCCATACCCATTCGCTCAGTCGAATTCACGCTCGCGCACCAAGTGGCTATCTATGCAGCTGAATGCAAATTAACGACAGCCAACATCTGCTGCAATACCACATAGTAGTCATTGGACCGCGCTCAGAGCCACAGTGGAGTCGCCAGAGAAGAGAGGTGGTCACCGTTTCATTATCGGGCGGTGTCGTTACTTCATCGGAGCGGAGCGACGGAACCGACGGAGCGAGAGGTGCTCCCATCACACTGATACGGAGCGGGAACGTCTTCCCACCCCGCCCCTCCCCGGAAGGGTCGGGGAGGTGAGGGGAGAAGTCGGCTGAAGTGACAATGGTAGAGCGTTAGAAAAGTCGGCACGGATCAACCGATGAACGGATTGAAAATGTGGGATATATGTACGAGTATTCAAGGTTGAGAAGTCCTTGCGTGTCACATTCAAGGGTAGGCCACGACCGAAATATGTTGAGTTATATATAGAATGCATTTGAATTTTCATTTAACAGACCCAGATGATGATTTATATATTTTATCATATAACCAGCTTCTACAAAGAAATCATTTATATAAATATTTCCCTTAGTTATCTTCCCCTTCCTGAATCTGGATCTCCACGGAACATTGCTGATAAACAGGCGTAGGGATTCGTGTCAGGTGCCTCGAAAATTGCTGATTCAATGTGCATGTTATCGTTATTAG